GGACCAGGTTCGAACCTGCCACACTTGGTACATGGGGCCCGTGCCCTATTCACTGAGCCACAGGCACTGCCCAAATGTCCTACATTCTTATTTGCTAAGTGCTAAGTCTGGCAACACTTTACCCAGGTAACTTGGATCAGGGACTATGTCTATGCCCATCCTGCTATATGTATTAATGAATAAATATTGGCTGGGGGTGGTGGCTCATGCCTGTAATCCTAACACTCTGGGAGGCTGAGGTAAGAGAATTGCTTGAGTTCAAGAGTTCAAGACCAGACTGAGCAAGAGAGAGATACCATCTCTCCTACAAGTAGAAAAATTAGCTGGGTGTGGAGGCAGGTGGCTGTAATCCCAGCTACTCCCTAATTTGAGGTGGTGGTGAGCTAGGCTGACACCAGGACACTCTAGTTATGGCCACAGAGTGAGACTCTGTCTCAAAACAAAAAATAAATATTTAACATTAAAAATTTAATATGCACATTTGCTAGTGTTCACCCAGCCTTTGTTTTAAATTTCAGATTAATATGGAGGTACACATGATTAGGTTAGATTGTTTTTGTAAGGTTAAAGTTGTAGTTGTGTCTTTCAACCAAGAAGTATGCAATATACCAGTTGTTTGGATGGGAATTTACCCAACCCCTTCCCTCTCCTCCCTGCTTGATTTCATTGAATTTTTCTCACCCAGCTTTTCTTTTTTTCTTTAATTGTATTAAAACTGTAGTACTCAAGTCACATTTGACTTCTGGAACTACCACGTACAGGGGTGCTCAAATGTGACTTGTACACCCAGTTTCTTGATCATTGACTACTTGTCATTCTGGAGGGTGAGAGAGGTGAGGCACTGCTCTTCTTTCCGTTTAATAGAAGGGAAACTGGGCTTCAAGAGGGAGAGTCACTTCATTAAGGTCACACGGGATTGCATGGGGCTAGGGTTGGATCCAGTGTTGGTTGAGGGGCAGAGCTCTGGGGCATTACCAGCCCCTCCATCCACTCAGCCCAGAGGCCTGAAGGGAGTCCTGGCCTGCCCTGCCCCCCAGACCTCCCACTCCCACCTGCTCCCTCTGAAGCTGGACTCTCTCCTGTCTGTCTCTCCACTGTCTCTCTGCCCTGTTCAGGTTGATGTGCTCAGCTCTGGATCTCTGTCCCACCTGGCCTGACTTCGGGGAGGCCTGGTCACCGTGTCTCTTTTGACAAGTCTCTGTCCCTCCTCATCTATCTTTGAGTGTTCCTATCTTCTCGTCTCTCTCTCTCTCTGGGTTTTCTCTATCTCCTTTCCCATTGCACTCTAATAGATGCTTCTCACCTCTGTGCCTCTCAGTCTCCCTTCTTATCTGTATCCAGAGATCTCAGCTCTGTATCTGCTGGTCTGCCTCCCCATCCTCAGGAAGACTTATGTGTAAGTCCTGGGGTTGTGTAAGAGGGGGGTTGGTAGGAAGGGCTGGTGATGAGGGTAAGGAGGTTTGAGGGTGTTGGGCTTGGGTGGTCTAGGCCAGGTGGCAGGGGGTTGAAGGGCACTTCCGTCAGGAAAGGAAGCCCTCACTTCTTTGACAAGACTGGAAAATGTGGCGTCAGAAAAGGGGCAGTAAGGGGAAACACAGGAACAGAAGAAATTTGATACCTCTCTTGGGTGAGCGCCTTCTCTGAGAAGCCTCATAGTCTCCTCCCCACCCCAGCCCCCTTTGCAGCGCCCCTCCTAAATGCAGGGATCTGATGGCTGTGTCCTGGGAGTTCTTTATTACTTCCCCACACTTGAGCCCTGCAATCTCCCAATCTCCTCCCTCCAGACTCCCAGCCCACAGTAGTGGCCTTGGTGCTCAGGGATTTTTTCTTTTTGACTGTGACCTCTGGTAGAATGCCACAGTGTCACAGCTCATAGCAACCTCAAACTCTTGGGCTCAAGTGATCCTCCTGTCCCAGCCCCCAGAGTAGCTGAGACTACAGGTGCCCGCCATGACATCGTTCATTTGTTTTGTATTTTTAGTAGAGATGGGGTCTTGCTCTTTCTCAGGTTGGTCTTGAATTCCTGAGCTCAAGGGAGCCTCCTGCCTTAGCGTCCCAGAGTGCTAGGATTACAGGTGTGAGCCACCCCACGGCCACAGTGCTTTTTTTTTTTGGCTGGATCTGGGTTTGAACCCACTACCTCTGGCATATGGGGCTGGCACCTTACTCATTTGAGCTATAGGCACTGCCCACCATAGTGCTTTTTTAAAAATTTGAGACAGTCTCCAGCTGTCACCCTGGGTAGAGCGCTGTGGTGTCACAGCTCACAGCAACCTCCAACTCTTGGGCCTAAGCAATTCTCTTGCCTCAACCTCCCAAGTAGCTGGGACTATAGGTGCCCATCACAATGCCCGGCTATTGTTATTGTAGTTGTCATCATTGTTTGGTGAGCTACCATAAACATATAGCAAGTTAAGCTGGCTGAGGCCTGGCAGTGTGGAAAATTGAAAAACAGCCTGAGAGATCCAGAGGGTAAGAATTCCAGGAAGAAAATGAGTATCTCAGAAGGGTAAGAATGACATTTCCTTTAGGAAATCCTTCCTGACCCACAGGTCAGCACCCTGGGCTCCCCCATTCCTACCCTGACTCTGGGCTTGCACTGTCTGGCATCAGGCCTATCTTCTGCGACTGGGCCATGAGCTCTGGAGAAGGGCCTAAGACTATTCCAGTCACTATTGTATTGCCAGTATATGAGTTTGCTGAAAGCCTAGAAGGTTGTGAGCTCCCAAAGGGTGGGCTTAGACGACCCTGACTAAGTGCTGAGAACAGTCTGTAGTCAGGACCCAGATCTGGGTCTCAGCTTGGCTTTGCCATAACCCCCCACTTGCTCCTCTGTAATGGCTGTGCTCAGCATGCACTTAAAAAGACTTTAGGTAATGGGTATACAGTAAGGGCTCCAAAGCGCCCCCTAGGTGTCTGGGTAAACTTACAAGGCTCCCCACCATTTTTAAGCAGGGGGATGCCAAGCCCTACCCCTCAGAGTGCTTTCAAGCCCAGGCAGGGATGGAAATGAACATAAATTTATTGAAACTGGTTTTGAGGCAGGTGGGAGGATAGTTGGGGGTTTTCCAAAAGAAACTGTGAAGAGGAGCCAGCACCCGGCCGGATGGGAGTGGCTGCCCAGCCACAGACCCTATCTCAGGCCCAGCTTCTTCTTTTCCTTCTGCTTCTTGCGGACCACGTCCAGGTTCCGGTCCTTCCACATGCTCTTGCGAAGCTTGATGGGGCGCGAGCCCACATACTTCCCTGTAGAAATGGAGGGTTCTGGTCAGGTTTGGTGTCAGGCTTTGGTCAGATGCCTGCCACAGCCACTATCCCTTGGGAAAGCCTCACTCACCATTCATCTCACGCATGGCACGTACGTAGTCACTGGGGTCCTTGAAGCTGACAAAACCATAACCCTTGGTCTTGCCCGTGCGCTTGTCACGGATCACCTTAGCCTTAAGGAAGGATGGAAAGCGGCTGAAGGCGCGTGCCAAGATGTCATCATTCACTTCATTGCCCAGATCCCCACAGAAAATCCGGAAGTCATCTGGGGATGGGAGACAGACAGGTCAGAGGATGCAGATACCTGGCCCACAGGCCACTTTGTAGAACAGCCCCACCTTCTCTGGAGGCTCTGCTAAGCACCTGGAGAGGTCTGTGTGCATCCAGCACTCCCAATAACCCTTTCATGCTAAGGCATAGAGAGGTCAAGTCAGCCCCTCACCTGAAGTTACCCAACTAGAAAGTGGCAAAGGTGGGACAAGAGCTCAGGCATGTGCCCCAGAGTCCTTTTAGCCTCTACCTGTACTGCCCTTTCCTACCCCAGGGCCATCTCACTCATTCCCATGATGAAGACTCTAACTCTGTCCCAGTCCTGGTCTTTCCTCTATAACAGTGGTTCTCAACCTTCCTAATGTCATGGCCCTTTAATACAGTTCCTATGGGTCACGACCCACAGGTTGAGAACCCATGCTCTATAAGAAAACAAAAAAATCAGCTGAGTATGGTGGTGTGCACCTATACTTGGGGAGAAAAAAAAAATCAAGAGACATAAAACTGGGTGGTGCCTGTGGTTCAAAGGGTAGGGCGCTGGCCCCATATGCCAGTGGTAGGTTCAAATCCAGCCCCGGCCAAAAAAAAAAGAGAGAGACATAAAACTGTGTGCATTCTAGTTTGGGGCAAAAATAGCTAAAGTAGGGTTTCAGGACAACTGGGGAAATTTGCCTATAAACTGAATATAAGATACCACAGAATTACAATTTTCTTAGATGTGACAATGGTATTAGGATATGAAAGAACCCTTTCATAGGATTCTTTTCTTAGGAGATGAATACTGAGATGTTTAGGAGTGAAATAATGACTTACCCCTGGTACCTCTTGGTCTCCTGGATACTTTCCTATGACATTCCCCAGGCCTGTTAACACCCACTGGCCTCCCATCATAGGAGCTCACTAACACAGGCTTCATCTTTCCTCAGCCTTGCTTCCTCTGCAAAGTCTACTCCAGTTCCCCCTTAATGCCTAGACACGCTGCCTGAGCCTGCCCTACAGCTCAGCTCAGCTGCTGTTCTCAGCTCATACCCTCTGGGTCGAGCCCGTGGCCCTATGGAACAAGCTCTGTCTCAGAGAGCCCTATCCCCATGAGGCTCCTGCTGTTACTCCCTTTTTGGCAATGTGGAAAGTGTGGCTTGAAAGGCTAAGTAATTTGCCCAAGGTCACAAAACTAGGGTCTCAAGGCCTGTGCTGGTCCTGCCTGGCCTTAGCTCAGGGCAGTAGAAGATTCCAGTAGAGGAGGCAGAAGTCAAGAACTGGGGTAGAGGTGGGTCTTTTCCTTTCTCAGATATTGCTGTGGCTGCCCCAAGGCTTCTGTAGTCATTAGAGGAACTCTAAGAACACAGTGGGCCACCCTAGGAGGAAACAATCTGACAAACTCAAGAGTGTGGACCACAGGCCTAGATACTTCAAAAAAGTATTATGGATTATACATAAAACAAAGGGGTGTGGGGGAGACCAATGTTTTTTTGTTTTAGAGACAGAGTCTCACTTTGTCACCCCATGGCGTCACAGCTCACAGTAACCTCCAGCTTTTGAGCTTAGGTGATTCTCTTGCCTCAGCCGCCTGAGTAGCTGGGACTATAGGCGCCCACCACAATGCCCAGCTATTTTCTTGTAGTTTGGCCGGGGCTGGGTTTGAACCTACCTATATGGGGCTGGCGCCCTACTAACTGAGCCACAGGCGCTACCCGACCAATCTTATTAAGAGATAATCTAGGGCAAGTGTTGTGGCTCATACCTATAATCCCAGCACTTTGGGAGACAGAGGATGGGGGGTTGGTTGAGGCCAAGAGTTTGAGACTAGCCTGGGCAACATAGTGAGACCCCTATCTCTACAAGAAAACAAACTAAATTAGCCAACTGTGGCGGTACGTACCTGTAGTCCTTGAAGAATTGAGCTGAGTCATTAACGTCCGGGAAGCTAAGCTAGCAATATTGCTTAAGCCCAGAGGTTGCAGTGAGCTACCATTGTGCCACTGCACTCTAGCCCAGGTGACAGAGCAAGATGCTGTCTCATTTAAAAAAAAAGCAAGCAGTGTAAACTGGTTCTTTGTACCCTCAATGAATTCTCAACAATAAAAAGAAAAAAAGGATAATCTAGAGACATAAAACTGTATGCATTCTAGTTTCGGGCAAAAATACCTAAAGCAGGCTCAGCACCTGTAGCTCAGTGGCTAGAGCGCCAGCCACATACACCACAGCTGGTGGGTTGGAACGCAACCTGGGCCTGCCAAACAATAATGACAACTACAACCAAAAAAATAAAAAAAAAAAAAAATAAATAAATAAA